GCGCTGTACATACAATGATTGCTTGTTTGAGGCATCTTGTTTGCCATTTACAATGTGGGTTAAACAAAAAAATTATAATGGTAATCTGTGCCATCAGCACAGATGTTTACAGATTAAATATCTATGCTAATTGTAACTTACAACATTGAATCAAAGCTTGTATCTCCATTCATAAAATATTAGAACAAGCTATGTTGAAGCTTTAATTGACTGGACAGTAAGATTTGAACATTTTGGCTTATTCTCCTGTCTATTAATTCAATCTTCGACATACCTTTTTCTACTATTTCATTTACACAGCTTGATTGCACTCCATGAATTATTATCTTTTATCTCCATTCATTAAGTAGGCATCATTATATTTAACTGAGCCACTTATCTAGACCCTGTCTGTACATGCTGAACAGAATATTTGACAATGATCAAATATGGCTAATATTCAGTTTTTGTTACATGATAGAAGTTGCTAGTCTCCAAGGTTTTGGTTAACATTAGTATCAATTTCTTTGTATCAATGTCATTTTTCAATATTTTAATACCTATAAAATGTTTACTTTTTGTGGTGTGTGTTATCAATTTGTGCATAGATGTTGAAATGATTGTCATGGCCATTGAAATGATTGTCATGGCTATTGAAATGATTGTCATGGCTATTGAAATGATTGTCATGGCCATTGAAATGATTGTCATGGCCATTGAAATGATTGTCATGGCCATTGAAATGATTGTCATGGCCATTGAAATGATTGTCATGGCTATTGAAATGATTGTCATGGCCATTGAAATGAGTGTCATGGCCATTGAAATGAGTGTCATGGCTATTGAAATGATTGTCATAGATAATGAAAGGATTGTCATGTCCATTGAAATGATCATCATGGTCATTGAAATGATCGTCATGGCCATTGAAATGATTGTCATGGCCATTGAAATGATTGTCATAGAAAGAAAGAAAGAGCGTATAAAGCCTTTGTCTGTCTGGTTTTAGATTATGCATCTTCAGTCTGGGACCATTTACCCAGAACAGCATTGACAGATTGGAGGCGGTCCAGCAACGGGCAGCACGCTTTGTCCTGAACCGCTGCAGGAATACCTCTACTGTTGCCAGCATGCTGGAAATACTAGGCTGGTCACCATTGGAGGAAGGACGACGACAATCCAGGCTCTCCATTATGTACAAGATAAATAATGGGCTGGTCCACTGTTCCAATATTAAACAGAAACTCGTCCCTCTCCCCCATAGACAGCGACGAGGCCATGACAGGCAATTCAGGCTCATACCAGCAAGAAGCCAGTATAGGAGCTGCTCATTCCTGCCAAAGACAATCAGGGACTGGCACTGGAAATCAGTGAAATGTCCTCATCAACAACAGGCACAGAAACATTGCGAATCCCCTCTTCATGCATAGGAGCCAAAATGATAAATAAATTGATCGTGGGCCCTTAATATATAGAAGAAGAAGATAATGAAATGATTGTCATGTTCATTGAAATGAGTGTCATGGCCATTGAAATGATTGTCATGGCTATTTAAATGATTGTCATGGCCATTGAAATGATTGTCATGGCCATTGAAATGATTGTCATGGCCATTGAAATGATTGTCATGGCTATTGAAATGATTGTCATGGCCATTGAAATGATTGTCATGGCCATTGAAATGATTGTCATGGCCATTGAAATGATTGTCATGGCCATTGAAATGATTGTCATGGCCATTGAAATGATTGTCATGGCTATTGAAATGATTGTCATGGCCATTGAAATGAGTGTCATGGCCATTGAAATGATTGTCATGGCCATTGAAATGATTGTCATGGCCATTGAAATGATTGTCATGGCTATTGAAATGATTGTCATGGCCATTGAAATGATTGTCATGGCTATTGAAATGATTGTCATGGCTATTGAAATGATTGTCATGGCCATTGAAATGATTGTCATGGCCATTGAAATGATTGTCATGGCCATTGAAATGATTGTCATGGCCATTGAAATGATTGTCATGGCTATTGAAATGATTGTCATGGCCATTGAAATGAGTGTCATGGCCATTGAAATGAGTGTCATGGCTATTGAAATGATTGTCATAGATAATGAAAGGATTGTCATGTCCATTGAAATGATCATCATGGTCATTGAAATGATCGTCATGGCCATTGAAATGATTGTCATGGCCATTGAAATGATTGTCATAGAAAGAAAGAAAGAGCGTATAAAGCCTTTGTCTGTCTGGTTTTAGATTATGCATCTTCAGTCTGGGACCATTTACCCAGAACAGCATTGACAGATTGGAGGCGGTCCAGCAACGGGCAGCACGCTTTGTCCTGAACCGCTGCAGGAATACCTCTACTGTTGCCAGCATGCTGGAAATACTAGGCTGGTCACCATTGGAGGAAGGACGACGACAATCCAGGCTCTCCATTATGTACAAGATAAATAATGGGCTGGTCCACTGTTCCAATATTAAACAGAAACTCGTCCCTCTCCCCCATAGACAGCGACGAGGCCATGACAGGCAATTCAGGCTCATACCAGCAAGAAGCCAGTATAGGAGCTGCTCATTCCTGCCAAAGACAATCAGGGACTGGCACTGGAAATCAGTGAAATGTCCTCATCAACAACAGGCACAGAAACATTGCGAATCCCCTCTTCATGCATAGGAGCCAAAATGATAAATAAATTGATCGTGGGCCCTTAATATATAGAAGAAGAAGATAATGAAATGATTGTCATGTTCATTGAAATGAGTGTCATGGCCATTGAAATGATTGTCATGGCTATTTAAATGATTGTCATGGCCATTGAAATGATTGTCATGGCCATTGAAATGATTGTCATGGCCATTGAAATGATTGTCATGGCTATTGAAATGATTGTCATGGCCATTGAAATGATTGTCATGGCCATTGAAATGATTGTCATGGCCATTGAAATGATTGTCATGGCCATTGAAATGATTGTCATGGCCATTGAAATGATTGTCATGGCTATTGAAATGATTGTCATGGCCATTGAAATGATTGTCATGGCTATTGAAATGATTGTCATGGGCAATGAAATGATTAAAACACCCATGGTGGGTCTGAAGTTTAAATCTCTTCTTTACAAATGGATTCAGTGCCAGGGCTTGTTCTTATTGTGACAGTGTGAACATAGCTGAAAGGAATGCAGTTCCTTTTTTTAAACCACCCACTAGTTTAAATGCTTTCAATGATTTATTTTTTTAAAAAAATAATTTTAATTTATGTGTATTTTTTTCTTGAATCAAGAAACCTAAAGATTTCTATAGATTTTTTTTTCATTGAGGATTATTTCCAATAAAATGAGATTTAAGATATAATAAGAAATGATATGTTATTTTAGAATCAATGTTTTAAGAGTGAATTGATCTGTTGGTGACTGGCTCTTAAAATACTTTGCGTGAATGGCAGCCATCAACTGAAAGGGCAAGACAACACAGGCATAGAGTAAATAATGAACACACGAACAATGGCAAATACAGCATGGTTCATTTTGATGTATTTATTTAGTCTCAAATCTTTTCTTTCATCTACGTCATTTCATATTTTATTCAATTTTTTTTCCCAACCTTATGGAATAAATTTTTTTTTAAATTCGGGGGGGTGGGGGGGTGGTGGTGGTGGATTGGGGGTGATGGAGGGGTATTAAATTTGGTTATAAGTTAAGGGCAGAGAGTTTTGTGTGTTTATTTTTCAAAAACAGTTTAGACAGGTGTCAGGTTATGAAAACGCTTGTACCAACGTATATGCTATATTTTTAAAATTAAAAACATTGAGTCAATAGCACTGAAAAAATCAAATACGCTACCAAAACTGATGTGCTCAACTTAGGAAAAACTTAACCTCGAGCTGCACGAATGAAATGACTCGGACACTGACATGCTGTCTGCTAGGGTGCAGGCGCTCGGTTGATGGACGTTCTTCAGCTTGCGGTCCGGGCTGCTGCGGGCACGTGCCCTGGACACCTCGCCGGAAGAGGACACGTCGGCATCGCTGTGGAAGGACGACTTGATGGTCATGTCCGAGCTGGAGCCGGACACCCCTTCGATGCTGGCAATGCTGGAGTAGCAGGAAACAATGGGATAGTTCTCATCCTCGCCGGCGTAGAAGTCCTCCATGCGAAGACCCAAGCTGGCGTCCATGCTGAAGTTTGTACTCTGCATTTTTTCTGGCCGGTCCAGCTTGCTGCTGAGATCTGCGCAGACGTCTGCCCAAGCGAAGTGGGGGTTGGTGTTTCTGTGCTTGCTCAAGAGATTTTCTCCCGCCTTTCCCAATTCACCCGTGTCGGGTCGTTGACTTCTACCATCAAAGCTAACGTTATCTCTGGCGGAACGCTCGCACCGTTCATGCTGCTGTGAAGCATTCTTATTTTCAGAGCCATTCCAGGAATAGGACACGCACGGAAATAGGCGCTTTTCAGCTTCTGAAAACTTCTTTTGAGGCTTGGTCTTGTTTCTTTTAGTTTTCAATGACTTCGTCGGGGAGGATGCTCTGAAATCTTTAGCCCTTTCGCTGCCGCAGGCGTTTGGTCTCAAGACGACCGGGAAGTCTTGGAGATTGTCGCTCGGGCTTTCTCTAAAGCAGTTAGTTGTATCGATGTTGGATGAATTGAAGAGCCCAGACGGCGCACTGTACTGACGAAACCGTTCATCGGGTTTGTTTGAAAATTCAGACGCATCCATAAGACGTTTGTCTGGTTTCGATCGGATCTTCTGCATTTGGCCGGCGGCGAACTGATCCAGGTTCGCCCGCATGCAGTCAGTGACTCTGTTGTAGACACGTTCGTAGTTGAACGCGTCTACGGGATTCACTTTGTAATGCCCAGGGTATTGGGGAGCACGCGTCGCCTGTGATGGGTTGCCTTCATTAGTTTTTGAATTTTTCTGATTGGCCTGAGCGCCAAACCCCATAGGTTCATACCCCTTCGGCATGTTGTTAGATTTATACACAGGCTGCGGGAAAGCCTGCTTGGTTTGAGCTATTGGATCCAGCGTGTACGGATTGCACACGCCCTTCTTTTTATCACTGTAAAAATTATTTTCCGGAAATTCCTTTGGAGCTTTTACAGCAACCCCCGGCAGTTTTCCCGTTGGAATGTTGTTCTGTGTAACGCTAGTCTCACTGTTTAATGACGAATTTCTCACAGTCGAGTTGACGCTCTGTGTGGTATCCGAGAGATCCAGCGGCTCCTCGGGCCTGACAAAAGCCAATGGCCGATTAAACATCGATGGTTTTGGGTAGGATCTCCTGGTCCCAGGCTCATCGGTGTTTTTCGCCGGCATCTTATGGATCGGATCGCGATTAAACGCAGCGGGTGTGCCTCCGTCAAAAACCGTGGCGTATCTCAAGTTGGAGGCCTCGGGACTTAGGAAAAGTGTAGGAGAAGGTTTCATTCTCTTTTGAGGAGTTTGGGCATTTCTGTGGCTTTGAAGTCGTTGAATCTCATTCATATACATAGGAGGATTTCCTTTTAATCTATACTGAATGGGATATTCAAATACATCATTTACACTTGTCTTATCCTTGGGAATCTGACTGATACAGTCACTCGCACTCCTGTTCAGCGCAGAAAGGCCTTGTGCTTGTTTCTCGACACTGGAAAGTGAATCCCCATCAGCCGATCCATTCGCGCACACATAGTCAACAACTGTTTCCGGGTATTTCCAACGTTCCGGGTAATCCATTGTGAGGTGATGATTTAATCTTCGTGGATCATACATGGGATGCAAATCACCCTTGCTGTTCGGATTACACCTGCTGCCAAAGTAGCCTTTATTTTCACAACTGCTCCCGCTATTGGATTCCCTCTCGGACGTTTCATCCTCTTCAATGGGAGTCATCACTCGCTTGGGCTGTTCGGCTTTATCGTAGCCGGGGTCATTCTGAATCAAGCACTCCACGGCTATGCTGTAACTGACCTGGTGGTTGAACAGCGCCGAGCTCGAGCTCGCAAGCTGCGTCGGATCGGGAGCATCGACGGTGTCGAACGACTGCCAGGCGCGATCCCGCCCGGTGCCGACCTCCTCCGGGTTGTACGCCATGGGCAGAGAGTGAATGGTGTCGGTGCTGCTCATCTGGGTGGCGACGTACAGATGAGACCTGCTCACCTGGGTCGTCATGTCCGCGACCTTGGAGAACTCGCTGTTCTCGTAGCGGCTCAGGTCGCTCAAGAGATACTCGTTATCGTAGCTCAACGTCTCCTGGGTGTACGAGAAAGTATCGGCAGCGCGCCAGGCTTCACACGTGTACTCTGAATCAAACATTCGATGCTGTTGGCTGTTGGCCGAAGACTGGTCTCGGAGATGGTGACTGGCAACGGACGTTTTAGAAAGCTCCCTTTCGTTGCAGCGTTCGTTTTTGGAGTCCGCGTTGATAGACGTCGGTGCGTGTGAGGCGTATGAGATGAGCGGGTCTGAGAATTTCACCGAGTTCGGTTTCGAACATGCCTCGTAACCGACGCTGCTTGAAGTGAAGGGCACAGCGGTCTGGTTGCTGAGCTGCAGGGCGGAGATCTGATTCAACGAATTCGTTTTATCCACATGGATGTCCTGGTTGACGACGCAGCTTTCGCTCAGCGTGTTGTTGGGGCTAGTGCACTCTGTGAAATGAGAGGGGGCAGACTGACACTTTAGCTTGGTGGTCGCGTGGTATTCGGGCGGTGTGGTGCACGCGTTTAATTCGGTATTGCTTTTCGTGTTGTCTTTTTTGACGATGATGGGTTGGATATCCACGAGCTGGGATGCATTGTTGGCACTGTTTTGAGGGTATTTGAGACTCTGTGATGAGGACACTGCACTGTGTGGGTTGCTAGGGGTGTTAAAGACAGGGCTACTTTGACCAATGGCTTGCACCTGATTCCCAAGGCTGGCCTGCTGTAACAGTTGGGTGTGGAGTGTCGGATTGCTGTAGAGACCCGATTGGTTTGGATCGTTGGGTTGACAAACGGGACGATTTTTGCCCAAAAGGTATGTTGACGACGGAGGCTGGGAATGCTTCGATGTGGAACACGGGGGAACGAAGTTAGGCAGACCGGGTGGATGGTTCACTGGAGGAACCTGGTTTAAAAATGGGGTTTGGTTTCTGGGCTGTTGGTTGTTCAATAAGTTACCCTGGTTGATAAAGTTGGCATCAGCCTGGCGATGCAGCTGGTTCACGGGGGTGCTTTGATTTTGCGGTTGTAGATAGTTCAAATTAGCCTGGCTTACGAAATTCGATTGAGCCTGAGGCTGCGGTTGCCTCATCGGGAAAGCCTGGTTTACAAAATTGGCTTGCCTCTGTGGTTGGTAGTAGCCGTGGGGATACTTTTGGTTTAAAAAAGAGCTCATGTTTGGAGGGCTTGTCTGGTACAATGGGCTGGGGTAATTCACTTGATTGAAAACTACATCATTGTGTGGGTCACCGTACCCTATCGGCTTGACGAGGTTCGTCTTATTGATGCTCTGATATCCAGTCTCAGGAGGAGCCACGAGGTCGTTTTCTTGAACATTAAGGACTTCGACTTTATTCCTATCATTAAACACGGGGCATCGAAAATGAAAGTCGCCCTGCTGCACGAAATCGCCACTGTGCCGTGGACTTGTCTCGAGCAGAGCGATTTGACGAATCGGGGCGTTGATCGAGTTTGCTAAATTGGAAGATGGCAACCGTTCTGTGCTTTGAAATATGTTCGCCTGCCCCACGGGCATCATGGGATTGATATGGCTCACTACCGTCCTAGTGTCCCCACTCCTCACATCGGTTAAATTAGAGATCGGATGCCTTGGAGCCGTCTGGTAAAAGCCTTGGTATCGGGGATCATTCAAATTGGGGTCCCTGAGTTCGTTCGGGGCAAAGATTTGGTTATTGGGAACGTTGAAGTTAAAAGTTTGTATTCTCTGTTCGTTTTGGCTCATAAATTGGTTTCCATGACTTTGAAGATTAAAGGCTTGGTTTCTGGGATCATTTAAATTGAAAGTTTTATTCCTGGGTTCGTGCGTATTGATCGGTTGTCTGTGTTCAATCAGATTAAGTGTTTGTTTTTTGGAGTCATTCTGTCTCAAAGTCAGGTTCATTGGTTCCACTTGGTTGTACAGCTTGTACATGGATCCGGTTGGGTTTAATTTATGTTTTCTGGGATCGCTGAGGTCTAACGCCTCATAGATGGAGTCCTTGCGCGTCACCTGGTGGGACCTGGGGTGACTGAGGTCCAGCACTTGGTACTGGCGACCACTCAGATCCAGAGGCAGGTTCCTCAGGTCACTTAGGTCTAGAGGTTGGTTTAAAGGATCAACCAAGTTGAACGGTTTATTCTTGGGAAGGACGAGGTTTAGGGTCTGGTTCTGGGAGACTTTGAGATTCCAAGACTGTTTTGTCGGATCATTGAAGTTCATCGATTGTATTTTGGTCACCGCTGTATCATCTCCTGCGTTTCGGAAGTCTACCTGGTTCAAAGTTTTGCTCCTCGATTTGGTGATGTTCAAAAACGTGTTGGTGGGATCGGGTAAGTTTGGACTTGGCTTTCTGTCCGCAACGGGTTTCTGAGGCTGGTTCTTTGATCCACTCAGTTGATTCAGCAGTTGGTTTCTGTGACTGCTTAAGTTGGAGGTTGGGGAATCGGGCTTGTTGTAACTGTAACCTTTGGTGGGGCTGGTGGGGCTGGCGGTCTTCAGATGGATGGTTTGTCTTGATGCCGTGTTTTTTTCGCTCGAGGAAAGCAGCGCTTCCGGTTCACCTGTGCTCTTACCCGGTTCACCCGTGCTCTTACCTGGTTCACCTGTGCTCTTACCCGGTTCACCTGTGTTCTTATCCGGTTCACCTGTGTTCTTATCCGGTTCATCTGTGCTCTTACCCGGCTCACCCATGCTCTTACCCGGTTCTTTCGTGACTTTATCTGTATTGGCTCCATCTTCCGCTCTACTATACGCGTCACAACCTTTCTCAACCCTCTTTTGGCTAATCGATTCAACCTTCTTACCCCGGGCATATCTGCACTCAGACAGCTGGGACATCTCGGTGCCGACGTCATGGGTGTCCTGTGCCGCCACGCCAGAAGCCTTATCAACTTGTTTTAGACATAAAGGCGCCTCTCCATCCCCACCGCTCGCCACCATTTTAATCTCACTTTCCATCAGTTCATCGATGCCTTTGCTGGAATCCACTTCGCTTGCCTCGGCACCGCAGAAGAATGCCCCGCACTTGTCCTGTTCTTTGATCTCCCGGAGAAGCTGACCTTTGTGCGCGGCACCTGTTTCGCACTTTTTGTCAGCAGAAGCCCGTAAGTCCTTGACATCACCCGTCTCCTCAGCTAATTCTTCTTTGCTGCTGTTCCTGTTCATCGCTGTTCTCGTCAAGTTATCGTCGACCGAATTCTTGTCCCCTTCAACCGTCGAAGACGTCTTATCGGCATTGCACGCCGCGTCAGTGTTCATGGAGTTTTCGATGACTCCCTTCTGGTCTTCCGATGCGACGTTGCGGTTGCCGTGAAACATTTTCTCCGATACAGCAGTTTCACACAATGTCCTGTCGGATTCCTCCTCACTGTGTAGGTTAAACGAGTTCTCCTGGGCGTGTTTATCGGAGTTTTCGTCAGACGGTAAGGTCTTGTCGTCGCCGACGGAATTTTCAAAGGATTCTCCTTCATTTGGTTCAGGTGTACACTTTTTAGACATCCTGTGCTCAAGTATATCTTCTGTCACTTTGCCCTTACTTCCTTTCGGTTTAGAATCTGTTGAAGCTTTTAGTGATTTTTGGTGAAGTTTATCTTCATTAACCTCTTTCATGTTTGCAGTTGTTTGAATATTTTGAAGTTTGTTTTCCCTGGGCAATGGCTTATCACCACGCACTTGTTTCGCCTCATCATTGTTATGTTTATGCTGAGCAGGTTCTACGCTTTCTTGTTTATCCAAAGTCTCTTTGATGGCGGGCGGCGTTGAATGCCTTTGATTAACAGTGGTCTTTGTATCTATTTGATGCTTATCCTCATTGCCTTTATTTTGCACACGGCTTTCCACGGCAAATTTGCCACCATCATGTGTGTGCCTATCGTAGCTATCTGCCGATAATTTATTTTGGACATGTTTAACGCCCACGGCCCTATTTTTAACGTTCCTATCGGGACTTTCAATTTTTTGTAAATTGCTGGTTTCCTGTTTATGCGAAGTCTCACTTTGCTTAGTAACGAAAAGGGGCGAAAGTCCCGTAGGCTTTACGGGCGAGAGTCCCGTAGGCTTTACGGGTGAGAGTCCCGTAGGCTTTTTCGCCTGCGGAGAAGTACATGTTGGTTTATATGCAACTGGAAGCTTGGCATCAGCTACCTCACAGTCGGATTTGACTTCGTCCTCTTCGTTATGTGTCTCCAGCAATGTGCTCATGTCCGTTGCGAATTTTTTTTCCGCGTACGGAGATGGCTCACGTGTACTTTTTCTCGACTCGGGAGACCTGCTGGTGTCGACAAATCGCCTGTTTCTAGCTGATGGTACAACAGACTGATCCCTCGGTGAATCAGGCGGCTTTTTGTCTGGATCGCGCCTGGTAGTTCTTTTAGGCGAAAGGAGAGGCTGATCTTTTATAGCGGCACCACCGTCTTGATCCTGGGGAGAGCTCGCGCACCACGGCTTCACGTTCTTCTCATCGGCTAAATTACAGTTATGGCTGATGACGCTTTCCTCAGGCGTGTCCTTCGTTGGCGTTGAGCCTTCGTCATTTAGCCTGGATTTGTACATTGTCTTGCAGCTCCTGCACTCCGTAAGTTTATCTGCAAGTTTTTTTTGCTCGTTTCTTGTGGAGGCAGCAGCCGGTGACGCAGGGAGGTCTCCTCGCTTCGGGGAATTCAGTTTGTTGTGACCTGTTTCGGGAATGATTTCCGGTGACCTGAAGCTCTTTGGGACATATTCCAAAGGTTCGGGAACGTCATTTTCGCATGATCTTTTGGTTTCGCTTTTCCCAGAAATTTTTTGATTTCGAGGGGATGATGGGGCATGACCTGTTCCACGATCGCCACAAAGATGTGATTGGTATATGTCTTCACTGATAGTTGGACTATCTAAGTTTGTATGAGCTTCAGTGGGATTTACACCAAATTTTCTTGATAACGATTCTTGGTTTTCTGGATGCCACGTTTTCATCGCCGCTCCATGCGTGTATGGATTTGTCTCGTCACACCTTGGCGTCTCATTACACGTATCCACAACTTCCTCGTTGATGACCTTATGACTGGCATCATCTTTTCGTGGACCCTCATTGGTGCCTCCAGCCTGGTGCGTTTCTTTTGGTGGACTTTTCGCGTCTGCTATTTTGTCATCACTGCTACCCGAGAGGGTGTCTATACCATCGTTGATCATGGCAGTGTAGCTTGGAAGTACAAACGTTACCCCCTTTTTAGACGAGGGTTTCGCCTTAACGACTTGGCGAATGGAAGCTTCATCTATACAGGCTTCCAGTTTATTGCTTTCTAGAACACAGATGTTCTCTTCCAGGGGAATAGACTGGCAGATTTTCGTGTCAACGGTGGTTTCTTTGGGGCTTTCCACATCTTCAGTCGGATATTTGTTGGATGGGGACAATGACCACTGGTCAATAATGCGTTGATTTTCTTTGATTCGCTCCACATACTCGGCTTTCATGATTGTGTACGCGTCTTGCAGGTTTGCACTCCTTTCCACACTATCTTCTACGTGAGATACTTCCGTGCTCTTTTCGAGCGTGCCGCGGCAGCGTTCTTCCTCGTTCTGACAGCTCTCATCAAATAACTCTTGCTCCAGATTGTTGGATTCCTCGCTGACCGATTGGCTTGTCAGCAGACAAAACAGCTGCAGGGCGCCTTCCCGCAGCTGCTTTTTGTACTTGACGTCGCTCTGCTTCCGCGATGCGCGTTCATATATTTCACGCACTATCTGCTTGCTGATGTCTTCGTTGTTCTTCTGACTGTAGGCGAACTCAAGCAGTTCTCGAATTGACTTGTTTCGGAGGTCGTCGTGATTTAAGAATTTTTGCCTCGAATTTTCAACCTTCTTTTCACTTTTCCTATTTTCGGTCGCGTATTTTTCTTCCCGTTGTTTGAGATTCTTACTCTGATGTTCGAGAAGTGTGGTTTTCGCCTGGATGTGCGCACTGATAGTCTCTTTGTAGGCATCGCCGATATACCCTTGCGCCTCTTTCAAGTCGTTCGAGCACGATCTTTTCTGACCAAAGATTTTAGAAAAATCGGGAATATTTCGCGAAAATTTCATCCAGCCACTTGGCAGAAAGTTGGACATCGCCAGAGAGTTCATTTCATCATAGTCCTGGATCTCTCCTTGGCCCAGATGATATTTATCATTACGTTCGAGGTGCTCGAACTTTTCACCTCCCTTTTTGTACACTTTGGTCGACGCCCGAGACGCCTTAGTCAACCTCTCCTGCGCCAGATACGGCTGCTGCTCGCGGCTGGTCGACCCGGCTTCATCCGAAGGCGCCTGCTTCAGCTGCCAGCTCTCCACAAGCTGTTTACAAAAATGCTCGATGAAAGACTTGGACTCGCGCGGTCTGCTTCGGGATTTCCGGTCATAGTCGGCGCACCTCTGCACCTCGACACCGCTTTTTTGCGGGTGCTGCTCATCGGAGATGATTGCGTTGTTTTTTATGATGGACGCGATTATCTTAAGGTAATCAGAATCACAGCTGATGTCGGCCATCGGGGGCGGAACCTTCGTTTGGTTTCCGCTGGGTACGAATCTCGGGATCTTGCATCGTGGCTTCGGAAGCGGACGACTGGAGGTGAGGATGTTGTCATTTTTCTCTTTGCTGTAGTGGGACGCGCCGTCCGAGGTGGACGCCTTGGAATAAGATGACTCGGTCCGCCCCACTTTTCCCGACTCGTTGAACTCCCTCTCCTCAAGCCTCAAGTCGTCATAGTTGGGAAGCTGCGTCGGCGTGTACATCTGCTGGCCGACTCGTTCCAGGAGGATGTGGTGCTTCAGGTCGTTGAGAATGCTGTGTATGGCCGCACAGCGACAAGATATCTTCTCCTTTTCCCTGTTGATCTCTTCGTGACGGGAGTCTCTGTGGTGCGACTTGTTGGACTTTAGTGTGAACGAGCTGGAGGCTTGAGAAACGGAGGTGTCCGACCCACTGAGGTACACGGCGCTTTTCGATCTTGATCGGTCGCAACTGGAGTTTCTCGGATGTATGTTGTGTTCGAATTTCGATTTTAATATTTGGCCGATGCGCATTCTTCTTTTGATGAAAGACTTGTCGATAGGCGATTTCCTGGCTGAAGGAATAGGTTGTTGCAAAATCTCCACCTTGTCGCCCTGTTCATTAGGAACGAGTGCCCGCAGTTTCTGTAACCTGCTTTGCGCTTCGTAATTATCGGAGTAGGTTGTTGTTGAGGTGACACCCAAGGAAGTCGGGGATTGAATGCACGCGGACTTGGAATTCCTACTAGTTTCCGACCGCTTCCTTTCCACGGAACTTTCAATAGTAACGTCCAGGGTGTCCAGCCTCGGCTCAGACGTAGGAGATTTCATATTCTTGAGGTAATTTCTATGCTGGGAATAACCCGAGTACTTTGTGTCCTTCCCGAAAGCCCCGAGGCGATTGACCTGACTCTCGAAGTACGTCCGTATGCTCTCGAACTTGTGTGCTTGTTGGACACTCTCTTGAGGTGGTGGCGTCTCGACCTGGCCCATCTCAATGCTGGTCGTTGAAGATAACTGGGCAGCGTCAGTGGGTGGGTTTTGGATGGGCTGGTCTCCCGTTGCTTCTGCTGAATTCAGTGGCGAGGAGCTGGCCATCAACGCGCTGGAGGTCTCTTGGTTAAGGTCTGGGGATCTCTGAGCCGACATCTCTTTCCTCTTGGTCAGAAATTCCAGCACGACTTCTACAATCTCATTAATTTCAGAGTTGATCTTGCTGTGGATGCCGCGCCTGTTCTCTCCTATTTCACCCTCATCATCGTCAGCGGATTTTTTGGAAGATTGATCCCAGGAACGTGAGCGGTGGAGATCGACTTGTTTTTTATTAGCCGAAGTGTCGGGATTCGCTGGCAAGGGTGTTTCGTTGCAAGCAGCCACCCTCCCTTCGCTGCAAGAGCCGGGGGAATCTTCATAGATGGATGGTTTGGATTTTTTAACATTTTTAGAGGATGATACCACGCCGCTTTCCATCTTTAGATAGTTGTTTCCTAGACATTTTGAGATGGAGTCCGGTTTCTGAATTGCGCGCCGTTCCGAAACCGGCTTAGCCGCGTCATCGTTATTGGTGTAATCGCCAAGCAGCTGCGCATTCTTAGGGGAGCAACACTTCTTTCTATTGTTCATATTTGTCTGTAGCTTACCGCTTTCTTGGTTTACGCCTGGCGTTTCATTAGCTTGCTTCGTGTCGTTTGGAATTTTTTTAGGGCTCTTAGGGCAGCTTTCAGACACTAACAGGGTCTGATCTTTTTGTTTAGGGGGCGATTTACCTACAGTGAGATCTTTTTGATGACGGGTAGATTTAAGTTCTTTATTATCCAGATTGATTTTGCTGTTCTCTAACTGCTGATGAGTCTGCGCCGGCGCCACCCTTTGGTCACTTGGTGGAGCAGAGGAATTTCGAGATTTGAGTTTGCTTTTTACCTTAGCGTCCGGAATTTCATTCCCGTTCGTCCTCTGGCCAACCACGCCATCTAGGGCTGTGTTTTGTTTGGTGGCTGCACCGGTTAACGGTTTAGGTCTCCACCGGTCGGGCTTTGAATATTTCTCACTGGCGGAGACGCTCGTGTTGGTTTTGTCGTTGGTCTTTTTGTTAGATTCACATTTGGCGGGCCGGCTGTTCGAGGAAGATTGTGCTGGAATATTTTCTGAGACCTCGTGGACACTTTTCCTTGCAGTGGAGGGCACAGTGACGAGTTCAGTTTGCGGGACAGTGTCAGTTTGTGGGACTTGATTGCCTTCTACAGAATTGACAACTTTTTGAAAACGATTGCTCCGCACTTCAGGGGGTGAGTTCTTTATAGCAGGGTGCGAGCTCGGCTTAATAGCGTCTCCCGTGTCCAGTGATCGATTTATTTCAACCAAGCAGGAATTTATCACCCGCGAGGGTGTATGTATATCCCGCGAAGGTGTATGTACATCCAGTGAGGGTGTGTGCGTATCCCGCGAGGGTTTATGTATATCCCGCGAGGGTGTAAGTATATCCAGCGTGGAACTCGTAGAGTTATCACTTCTGCCGCTTGTAGAGTCCGTGGTGATTGTGGGATCCTTGTTGGTGGTGACATCTCTTTCGACGGTGTTCTCTGGTTGTGGGGACGGCGTCTTTGGCACAGGGGGGTATTGTTGAGAACGCTGCAACAATTGGCTGTTCTGTATTTTCTTGATGTCCGACTTGGATTCGTCGCATTTTGATTTGTGATCACTGCAAACACTGAGTTTTTTGGCTGGTATGTCGATCGCGGGCCTCTGAAATGCGCCAATGGACGAATCTTTTATTTGAGCCGGGGGAATTGAACATTTTGGGGCAATGTCGGCAACCCTGGACGGCTTTGAATTGGCGGGCTGGGTAGGTTTCTTTACAACAAACTTGAACAATTTTTTTTTTATAAGAACATTCTGTGGCGCCGCAGTCTCAGAATGTGTGTTGGTCCACATTGTGGGTGCGTTGTACCTGACCTCCAGCGTAGGCTGTGGTTCGGGCACAACTTCTTTCGACATCTTGTAGGCAAGCGCCATGGGATTTTGGTGTCCAACGCCTTTTAAATTCACCGGTGGTTTAGGCTCACTGTACACATTTCGAGGGTGCCTCCAATCAGCCGGAGCACCCACCCTGCTCGACGCGTCGACCGCCTCATGCCTTTGCCCCGAACTGTGCGAGTCAGACGTCCGTCTCGCGGCGAGGTTCGGGGCTTCGCAGACTTTCTGGCACTGGCTTTGTTGGAGGGAATCATCGACCTGATTTCTACATTCGTTTTTGTCTTTCTGCGACTTGGAAACCTCGACATCCGAATGGCAGCGCCCGGCATCGCGTTTGGTCACCTCGGGTTTTTTGCTTTCCATCATTTTCCTCGATCCATCGAGAGATGACACTCTGATCCCTATGCGTCGGAGAGAAGTCGTTTTCTGCTTCTGTTTTTCTCTACCGTCTCCGCTGTTGACATCGTCTATTTTTTTCTCACGACAGAGTTTACTGTTCGGACGCGGCAGCGCCACCGGTGGACATTTAGACAGTTTCTCCGAATCTCCCCGACAGCGCGCCATCCTGTCGCCCCTCGCGAAATTCTTACTTCTATTCGAACTTGGCTCCGCCTCCACCTTCCCCACAACGTCATCGCGAGCATATGGCTTATCTTGTTTATCCCTTGTGGGGGTTTCCCTTAATCTCGAAACGACGCCGAACTTCGGCTCATTCCGTGACGGTCTGTTCGTGGACGTTTGATGCTCCGAGGGAAGTTCCGCCGAAGAGAGGCTGCTCAGCGGAAGGTCGCTGATGTTTTTGCTGCTGTCCAACAAGACGTCGGAGCTGGAGGTCAGGCCGTTGCCAGGAGACATCCGCGTGGACTCTAGCGTGGAGTCGCTGTGAGATATCATCGCTGCTCTGTGGGATTGCCTGGACGTCTTCGGCGGGAAAACCCGATTTCTAGTCGGCGGTCTCTTGGAAACAGTCCACGCGGTGTCGGAACGTTTGTATTTAAAAGAATTAGACCACTGCTGAATTATTTTGTTAGTGGGATTGTCAGACATCTCTCTCTTTTTTTTTTTTTTGGCTTAAAAATCCTCTTTCAAAAGTCTTCTCTGTGTTAGATGGGATTCTTGACCGATGTGGTTGTTCTTCTGTTCAATTCATTGCTGAAAGTTATATATAAAAATACTTTAAAATTTTTATTAGAATGACTTTTTGCCTCATGAAACATGATTTTTTATTTTTATTTTTATTTTTGCAATTCATGCACCGATAATTAATGAGAAAATTTGATTGCATGTGGAATTATGAGCTTAATGAAGGGCATTATTTAACAACATAATTGATATTTAAGTTATTATTGATGATGATTTTATTGATACTCTCTCGTATAGTTAGAAAAAAAATATCGTTTTTAAACAAGGTGGTTTAGTAAAGGAAAAGAAGGAAGAAAAAACCCCAGCATCATTTAATTATTTAAACGATCCAAACTTAGACGAACTCTAGGAAGAGTGTCTGTGTGTGTGGGTAAGAGAGAGAGAGAGAGAGAGAGAGAGAGAGAGAGAGAGAGAGAGAGAGAGAGGGAGAGAGAGAGAGAGAGAGAGAGAGAGAGACACAGAGAGAGAGAGAGAGAGAGAGAGAGAGAGAAAGAGAAACACAGAGGAACTATAGGGAGAGAGTGTGTGTGTGTGGGTGAGAGAGAGAGAGAGAGAGAGAGAGAGAGAGAGAGAGAGAGAGAGATAGAGAGGTAGAGAGAGAGAGAGAGAGTGAGAGAGAGATACAAACAGAGAGAGAGAGAGAGAGAGAGAGAAATAAAGAAATAGAGAGGCATCACAAGTATGAACGTGACGTCTGCAAACAAAACCACATAATAACCCAACTAAATATTGCAAGGAAGTTTTCGAAAGTGAATTATATCAAGGCGCTTGCTTGTTCGTGTATGGATGATAAGAAATGTTCCAATTAACTGAAGTCTGAAATGACAAGGGTGTCTATGCATAATTACAAGTGAAATGACATGGGTGTCTATGCATAATTACAAGTGAAATGACATGGGTGTCTATGCATAATTACAAGTGAAATGACATGGGTGTCTATGCATAATTACAAGTGAAATGACATGGGTGACTGTGTATAATGACAAGTGAAATGACATGGGTGACTGTGTATAATGACAAGTGAAATGACATGGGTGACTGTGTATAATGACAAGTGAAATGACATGGGTGACTGTGTATAATGACAAGTGAAATGACATGGGTGACTGTGTATAATGACAAGTGAAATGACATGGGTGACTGAGGGGGGGGGGGGGGGTGGAGGACGTTGAAGGATTTATCATCAGTATAAAAGGTGTTTGTTTTCTTACTCCGTTTCGCTAACAACATTAAACGTGGCTCTATTGTATGTCGATACACCTCACCTACTTTTTTCATCCTAGGGTGTGCTTGACCCCTGAGACGTCATCTTATAGCCAAGTTGTCCATTTCTCCCAGCCTTAACCCGACTTCTTGTGTTTCCAAAATACACCAACTGCTGGACAGAAGAAATAATTTTTTCCCCCCAAAATAATAATATAAAAAAAAATAAATAAAACAAAACAAAGCAGAAGCATCATTACCAATTCTTGACATTAGGTAAGCGAATTATTTTTAAATTACGGCCATTGAAAAGGGAAAATAGTTTATTTAAAAAATATTAAAAAATTATATCCCTTCTCACCCCCCCCCGCCCCCTCCAAAAAACCTCCAGCCTCTATAATTAATGCGGACTCAAAAAAAAAAATGAAAACGGTGCGTGACGTACATTTTAAAAGAAAGCTTTCTTGATGTGCCTTTGAATTATTGTTACGAGATTAAGGCAACGTTATACGCGAGCAACTGAGTTTATGTAGGATATGTTGAGCTGTACTATTTGTGTCTCTTGATCCATAGTATGAACAGATGATTCATAATGTATCCATGTATTCTGGTACAACAAGACTTATCAGTCGTGACGTCCACGCCTGAGATTTATGGACGTTTGCAAAAGGAGCCTGAAGGAAGCCAATATTGAAAACAAAGAATGGGAGCTCATTGCCGAACAGCGTTCCAGCTGGCGAACAGCAGTGTATGAAGGAGTAAAAAAGGCAGAAGATGCGCGAAACGAGGCCCTTGCAACAAAAAGAGAAATACGGAAGTGGAAATCTCACCAGGAATCAATATTTTCCCGCGAGAAATGCAGTCGAGATTGCCATTCTAGGATTGACCAAGTGAGCCACTTGTCGAAGTGTAGGACTACATAGCTACTCCATCGTCTCGCAAAGACGGAAGGATGCCATATATATATTCTGATACATGATTTTATCGATTAGTTTTATTTTTTAAATTTTAGTTTGCGTGTTTATTACTTTAACAAATTGTAAGATGTAGTATTTAGTGTTTTTGTTATTAAATTCGTAAAGTTTTCATAACTCATAATCTTTAAATAAGATAATAAATGAAAAAAATCTTAACAAATCCGCTATCCACTGAATTTCAACATCTTCACAAGTTTTACCTAATTCTGTTTTATATGCTTCTGAAGAACTTAAATTATGTTTGATCAAGCGTTTTTCATTTGCAGTCGCTACATGGTTTTCTAGTCCAGACGCCATTTTGATGTTAAATATTGAAAAATGTGTTGTACGTCAAAAAAATACTCTCGTCCTGTATGTGCGTTTAGGTGCGCAACACATTTGGTGCGCATTAATTTTGTAATACAGTAGAGAACCCTAGCACAATGGCACGGCTCTCTGGTACTTTGTTGGATTATAAATTATAACACTTGCTCACTCGTACCGAAATATCGTGGTAACAACGCCTCGAGGGTGATATCCTTTGTCGTTATTTCTCTGCTATTGTGATTGACTCTCGCGTCTCTGTAACTCAGCTATGACTGTTCCAGCCTGTGTGACTGTCCAGTCGGTCCACTGCTCAGACACCGGTCCTTCAAGTCCCGTCTCTCCGATTCAGCCCTACGACTCATGGCAGCTCTGCTCTCCGAAAGTCCTCCTGAGTTGAGCTCTCAGTCCCCAAGCTCACGCCCTTATAGTCCAGTCTCTATCTCCTACGGTTGTTAACCCTTGTCCCCAATTTCTCCCTCGCCCGCCTGGCTTAATTATCGGTTCATTTGGCGTTCCTAGTGCAGACGTGTTTACCCATGGGGTTAGTGTCAGCGTAATGTGAAGCTCCAAAGAGTAGTTTGGTCAATCAGCGGCCGGGGGGTGGGGGTGGGGTGGCTGGTTTGCAATCAAAATACCATTCAACTGCTTGTGTCAGTGAACACAAATAAATACAAAGGAAAGAGAGCTGCGATTTGTTTTCTTACGGAGGAGAAAAGGCAAGCACAGTTGCAGTTATTTATTAACAACGCAATCCTCTAAGAGATAATATTCTAGTTGATTTATTGAGATCGACACCGCAAAGGTCACTTACAGCTTTTCTAATTCGAGTGTGTACTGTGTTGACACAAAACATGCGGTAACCCTTTTCTCAAAACGCCATAGTTATTAAACAATAAAATATTTAAAATTAAACGAAACAAACGGGAAAAACAACAACCTCCCGAAACTGTAGTTGTTTTAGGCTCGTCGTAGTGGCGTAGTCTTAGGTTTAAAAACATGGTTACTACGGCGAAAGTGTATAAGCAAACACTGACTACCTGTTTGGACGGAGAACCAAAAGCAATAAATCAGGCCACCTCTAGCCGGCCTTCTTTCGTCCGTGCATGCCTTGAGAACACGCCAAATCGGCCGTGCAATGCCTGGAGAACACGCCACATTCGGCCGTGGATGCCTGGTGAACACGTCGCATTCGGCCGTGCATGCCTGGAGAACACACCACATTCGGCCGTGCATGCCTGGAGAACACACCACATCCCGCCGTGCCATGCCTGGAGAACACCCCACATTCGGCCGTGCAATGCCTGGAGAACACACCGCATTCGGCCGTGCATGCCTGGAGAACACACCACATTCGGCCGTCCAGGTGTTTTACCTTAGCTCACCGAGATGTGACTGGATAGACATTTTCTAGCTGTAAAACAGCCACAACCAACGGTCATTCCGTTAATTTTATTTTATTGACATAATCTAGTTATAAATAAGTTAACCTCGGACCACTCAAATTTGTTTGCTACGTGCTGGTACTGATTCATTTCAGTAATAAACGAGCTGACCTCTGAACTGCACCTTTATCCCCGCGCTCTAATATTCCGTAAGCGATAATTAATTGGTGGAAAATGATTTAAAAACTGTCATGTCTGCAAAAAATAAATGTTCCCATTGTTTGCTACGTGCTGGTACTTATTTCTTTCAGTAATAAACGAGCTGACCTCTGAACTGCAACTTTATCCCCGCGCTATAATATTCCGTAAGCGATAATTAATTGCTGGGCCCCCCCCCCCCACTATTTTGAAAGGAAACACCCCAACGATGCTTACAATAGGATGTGTCATGCTCATTCCAATTATGGACACAAAAGATGGGTTCTATTCAGTAATCATGGTGGGCCACATACCAGTTAATTGCGACTCAAATCATGTGTATTCTCTCTCTCTC